CACACACACACACACATGTACAAATTACACCTGAGCAAGTGTACAGATCACAGCGTCTGCCCACCCACCCTCCAGCCCTCTAATCTGATGACCTGGCCGAGACCCAATTTGTAACTGACTTTCCAATCGGAATGCCCGATACAGAACACTGCAGGAATGACAAACGAATCAGACGCCCCAACACATGTACTACCTCGGAGAACCGTTCTCTCGCCTGCCGTTCACTTTTATTAAAAGACTGGTGGGGGTATAAGTCTTTTTTTATTAACATCCCTGCATGTGTGCACAGTCTCAGCTGTGTTACAGCTATACAGAAGTGAGTTGAATGGGCAATAATGGGACTGTAATACTTGAACATGAGTGAATGACTGGTTTTGGACTGGTCCCAAGCTACCGCATGGTTAAGAGTCACAGGCCAAACCTTAGGTGTTAGGGCCAACAGTTTGGGTTCAAATCAGTTCAAATCAGTTTCTGCACAACTGACAGTCATACATGTATTATTGCTCCAGGGCTGGTGCATGTAAAATTTAACATTTGTTTGAAGACTAATTGATATTCACAAAGTCCTTCCCGTACAAGATGGTGCATAGGGCTGCACCCATCTCCTTTTCAACAGCCCTTGGGCCACATAACATTGTGCTGTTCCTAACAGAGATACTACATATATGAACAGTATTCACAGGTTCATTGTACCGGAGAAATTTCCCTAGCTCTTTTCAACTATGAACAGTGGACCACAGCTTAACACAGTTCTATTCTAAGAACTGCAACTCTTTCCTTTCCAGTAGTGTGCATTTCAGGTGAGCAAAAACAGCAGTGGGATTCGAACTCCCAACCTCTTGGTCCAGAGGCAGGGCTGCTAACAACTCTTCTACACTCACTACAGCTCAAGTAGCAAGAAAATGACAAAGTCACATCTTTGAGATCTGACAGTATCAGTTGATGAGACAGGGCAGAACAGGAACTACATCATACATCACTTCTGCAGCATCACTGAAGGATGACTGCTGTGTCAGCATGTACTAATGCAGGAGTCAGTCTCCCGAAGCACAATAAAAGTTACTCGGGCAACTAATAAGACACCATCTGCTCTCGAGATTATCCAGTTTGCTTAATTATAATAGGTGACACTGATGAACGTAAATGATACTAAGTCTTAATATAGATAATTCAAACTTAACTACTTTGGATTGTACAATTGAAATTCCGCTAGCTCTTTTCCACAAGTTCCAACAGTGGACCAAGGCTTAAGGACTGCGACCCTTTCCGGTAGAATGCATGTCGGATGAGTGACAACAGCCGGGATTCGAACTCCAAACCTCTTGGTCCAGAGGCAGGATCGCTAAGCACTGGACTACACAGGCTATCTAAAGGTACATATTTGTATCTTTAATGACTTTTGCTTCCTGTCCCATATCAATTCAGCAACTAATAGCACTCAGAAATGCCTGAAATAAAAAACAGTTATCTACAAAGCACTTGAGAAACTTGTGCCCATTGTTGGGTAAAGTACAAGAGAGAAAAACACACCTATGACATCTGCTGGTTCACTGCGAAGCCCCTCTGGCTGCTGTCCTTGCAGCATGTCCAGCAGTGCCTGCAGAGCGCGCGCACACAGTGCCGGGTGGGACAGGCGCGTCTCCCGGATCAGCTCGAACACCCCGCACAGTCCTATGCCTACAATCTGGGGGAAGGAAGGAATAGAAGTAAGACAACAGCAAAACTCTGGAGTATGAAATGAATTTTTCTGCATACCTGCACTGTTAACGAATGAGCATTACCTGCACCATACAAATTTTACCTGCACCTGCACAGAATTTGCATCATACTAAAAACTGTTGCCATTCTCTTATATCTTTATCTTTATAGGTCAATAATATAGGTCATGGGTCAATACAGCAAAGACAAATCCACAATCCACATACACCTAATATCATCTGTGTTATTGCTTAGTCAGAAATTTTTTATCCAATACAATACAATAATCAGCTACTACTACTCAATACCATCTACATTTTTTGTACGTTTTAGACCTAACAATTAACAGTTACTTCAACAGTTTCTACTCTGAAATGAAAAGAACACATCAAACAAATTGGCCCCCAGAGGAGGCACTCCCATGAGACTGTTTTCCGTCCCCCGAAAAACAACCGTCACCCAGAGTCATTCCCAACAACACAGCATCAGCCAGACACAAACACGATTACCCGCCCTGCCCGCGGCCTTCACTGAAAGGGTCGTAAAACGCTGGGATCAACAAATCACCATTAATTAAACTTCCCCCGTCGCCGCCGTCAGAACAAAGGGTACTTCCTGGGTGCGTTGTCTCTTGGGAAAGGGGAAGGGGGGCGGGATTTGGTGCAATTCATTATGATTTAAAGACAGACACATACATTATAGTGTTCTAGCAAGCATCTGTCTTTCTGTCATTGATGGAATTTTGCTGCATGTGACGAACAAATATTTTGCCCAATCCGTCATCTGTATATACTTGTACATGTATTATATTAGCCTACGGTGTTAGTTTTACTGAGTATGTGGAATGTAAAATTCGGCGCAATTCAGTGTATAAAACAAGGCCAATTAGTCCCATGTTTTTACCAATAAACCATTTACTACTACAATACTATTACTACTACATCTTTGACAGAAAAAAAATTGGTGTGTAAAGATACTGAAAGAAATTTCATCAAACTAACCTTAGTGTCATTTCAAGCTAAGCTAAGTCCACCAGCAAAATTTGCACCTCAAAATGCAGGAAATAGCACTTCTGAGGGTCAAAGCAAGACACGTGTACAACACTGGCTGACGAGAAGCCTTCTCACCTGTAGAAGTATCTGATTCATGCAAGGTATCAAGATTTCTGGATTTTTCCCGGGGAAGCATGCCCCCAGACCCTTTCACACTTCAGTGCTTGAAACGGAAAAATTTTCAAGCTGGCTACAATACTGCAGTCACAACTGAACTCACTATGTCTTATTATGTAACCTCTGTGTCCATAATATCACCAGGGTCCATAATATCGCCACCTTGAGAAATAGTGTGCTTAAAGATATTTTTACTGCAACATACTTTTGGTATGCACTCCTACATACCTCAAACAATGTAGGACCATGCAGTAAAAATCTCTTTAAAATTTAGATAATACTACTATTTCTCAAGGTGGTGATATTATGTACCTTGGTGATATTATATGCACATAGGTTAGCTCTTGAGAGCGGACAGTTCCAGTTTGAAGCGTTCTCCTGGCCAATCATACAGCCACGTCAGCGCCGCAGCCTGGCAACAAGGCAATCAGGGGAACGATGTTCTATAAGCCTGTCATTAGTTTCAGAGCCGAGTGATCATCAAAATCATGTTTGTGAATAAATTCATCTCTCAGCAACATGCAGAACACTTCACAGAACCCTCAGCGAACCCAGGGTACACAAGTACTGTTACTCACGCAGCTGGACAGGTTTTGAAAACTGGCAGCATCCACTAACTATACTGATGAAAATTAGTGGATGCTACTTGAAACGTCTGACAGTTTTCAAATTCTAACCAGTTACCTGACTGAGTAACAGTTTTCTTGTGCATCTCATTAGCTGGATGTTTAAAGGAATTCAATATAATTTCAGGACAGCAAAACTGGATTTTCAAGGTTTTGCCTTACCCGGGGTAGTTTGGGCATCACTTCCTTGACTTGACCCTCTGAATTCAAATTCAATGCTCAAAAAACCACTTGCCTGCACCTGAGTGTACAAATGTAGGTATGCAGAAGAAAGTATTTCAAGCCCTGATTTTTGTTGTGCATCTCATTACCAGCATGTTTATCTACATCTACTTACCCGGGGTAGTTTGGGGATGACCTCCTTGACTTGATCCTCGGTCTCGTCTTCGGAGTCGGAGTCCGCGGCCCGCTTGTCGCCGGTCAGGGTGGCTAAAATCCTGGCGGTCTCCCGCGTCTGTCTGTCCAGCACGGCCTGCCGGATGTGAGCGTACACGCTGAACGCCGACGCGTTCCCCGGGAGCTCGATCGTCGGGACTTGGAAAGGAGCCGACTCGTTGCCATTACTACTGCTGGAAGTTCCTCCCTGCAAATGGAATGAAACATGCTGTCAGAAATGCGGCAATGTTTTCATCAGTTGTAAATAAATAAATACCTTGTATGTAAGCCATTCACACTTGAGTTTTTTCAGAAAGAGCTCACTTAAAGAAAATGAAAGAAATAAAATGGTGAATCGTATGTTGCATGGCTAAGAAGAAAAAATGAGAAAAAATCATATATAAATTGTTCTATATTTTTTGGGCCTTTGCTTTCACAGATTAGGTAAGTAAACAATTTTTATTGTTTTAAATACCTATACATGTATGTATTATTACATGTATATCTCAAGAACAGAATCTCACACATCCAATGATTCACTTTTTGAAACTGTGTTGTGAACATAACAAATTATATAGAAATAGTAAACCCTTGAAGTGTAATTTACTTAGAGGATCTGGATATTTGCAATTGTGATTTGAATTCTAATCATATTTGATAATTAGAAAGACTCCCTTTGATCACGAGGCCCAGGCTGAGAGTATAATATATGCAGCAGATACAGCACCATTGCCAACCTCATGTATTATACAAACCATTATGAATTCTTCTTATTAATTAGAGCCCTGATAAGAGAGCCGCTGTAAAGATGACGGATTCGGCAGCAATTCAACTACGAGCCTTTTCCTGTTCCATAATTACAGCGCATTAATTAAAACAAATTTCATAATTCTACTACGGCAGAAATTCGCTATACATAAATCTATTTCTGATGACAATGTGCCACACAGAATTTTTATGCAATTAGCCCCAGGGCACGAACTAAATTAGAGAACGAAAGAGAAAAAAAATCAGTTTTGATATTGTTGGCACTGTCAAAGGGAGCGGCCATGAAATAACAGGAATGACATTGGCATGCATTATTGAGACTGACAAAATGCAGCATGATGACCCGGGGCACAGATACAGTCTTCATACATGTGAGATAGAACATTGGCAGTTGAGAGCTGCATTTATCAATACGAACCCAAGGGAGTACACATCATTACTGTAAGTCACGAAATTTTCACAGTGGTTTAATTTCACTGTACTAAGTAAGAGCAAAAGGAAGGTTTTCGCATTTTTATTCAGTTCGCATTTGAAACAATTCTGAATTACAGTAGTTTTACAAGGAAGGCAAATTTGCAAAAATAAAACCATCGCTAAACTTTCATGAGTTACAGTAAGTGATCTTCTTTTCAGTTGCATGTTTTGACAATCGTGACAGCTAAGAAAATTTCTCTCCTTACCAATTACATTTGATCCTGACTGAGAGGAAAATTTCTAAACCCGACATTCCCATGATCAAACCCAATCTAACTGTCAGGCTGTAGCCTAACCCCCAGGGGTTTAACTTGACAGGTGCATAATAAGGAGTCCCCTTCACAGGTGGCTAACACAAAAAGGACGCGGCGCATCCTAAAACAAACTACATATGAATATATATGCATTAGCTGGGAAATAGTCTGTGCTGCCATTTAATATCTTTTTGTGTACAAAACTGGGGAAACCAATGTTTAGCCTACATTATTTTCACATTATAGGCTGTCAAGGTGAAAACTAATACAATATTGAGCACGCGCCTGCATGAAAGGAAAGGGAGGGACACACGCAGGCTCGTATAATATATTATGGATACGGACAAAATCAAAGCACAGTGTGGAAAGGATGAGTAGAGGGTAGGAACAAAGTGGGGATTTATCTACTAGTAAATCATGACTTGTGTGTGCAGGGCTGGAATACCACCTGTATATATGCAGGTAAAAACGGAGCTGTGCAGGTATTTCTGATGTCTACCTGCACCTACGTATACTGCACTGGTCCATGTAACGTTACATGTATGGAGTTCCATATACATACACTGTACATGTAGGTCTATATGGATAAAAGAAATGTCAATGGTTTTTAAATAGCTTTTGTATGACTATGAAGTATGATAAATATATAAATCCAAATTCTGAGTGGCGCAGGTAAAATTTGTCTGGTGCAGGTAATTTTCCAGTGAGTGCAGGTATGCAGAAAAAAAGGATTTCAGTCCTGTCTTCATTGTCACCTGTTCTCTGTATAATTTCAGATTTTAGCAATGAAGAGAAGCAGTGATTTTGTTTTGCTTTTCATTTATTTCATTTATTTCGAAACCTTTTAGCCCTGCAGGGCTAGTCTTCCAAGGCTCAAATACATGGAATACAGGCACTTCGAATTCGTTACATATATACATAGGAAATAGTGCATAAGATACAGTGCAAACGTTTAAAAAGACAAAAATACATCAAACATTTAAAGGAACGCACAAATGAATACTGACAATTTAAAAACTAGAGGTCGGCTTCATGTGACACTGTTTACTATGGCTTTCTTAAACTTGAGAAGGTTACTCAGTGTCTTGACATGATAAGGTAGGTCGTTCCACAACGATATTGCACGATACAGGAATGAGCGCTTCTTACTGTTCGTCTTAGGTTTGGGTAATCTAAAGTTGTACTGTGCAGAAGATCTGGTATTGTGAATGTGAGATACATGAACAGGCACAAGGGAGTTGTATATATACTGTGGTTCATGACTAGTGACAATCTTAAAGAACATAACCAGTGTGCTAGAGGAGAATCTCTCTGCTGACTGTACTTGTAGTCATACACCCATTTTCTGGGGCACTTAAATCTGCACCTATTCCCAAAAAAATTAATTTTGACCAAATTCGAGCCCAGACTGCGTGTCATATGATATTATATATGTCCATCGTTATGCAGCAGGAATACAGAAAGAAGTATTTCGAGTCCTGAACACATCGTAAAGGATTATCAGTGCAGGTATGCAGAAAAAAGGGATTTCGAGCCCTGTACCCTACACATCGTTATTCTCGTGGATTCCAGAAGCAGCCCTGAGGGTCGATATCCCCGGGGACCCGCAGCGCGCTTTATTTTGGGCACCATTAATCATTCATCAGCAGATTAGCTATAACCTCCCGTTATTACCCACCATCACTGACGCACCCGGACCTTCCTGTGACCGGTGGCGCCGCCAGATTCCTTTTTTTTTTAACGAGAGAACCAGGAAGTCCGCTAACGAAGCAAATTACCGCCTCTCTGTTAGAACTGTTCTGTGCGGATCGCTCTATATCTATCCGAGAGGGGTCGACCTCGAGAAATGAGGTGACAGATTTTGATTAAGAGTTGTCCGTCACCGTGTAACACTCGTTAAATCAAACGCCGCACGACAAAATCGGGGCCGTTTCCCGGGCGACAGTCGGCATGACAACCGTGGACCGGAGGGACTCCATGAAATTTCCGACAAAAATTCTCAAAGGACCTTCGGTAATGATCTATCCGTATCGTATCGTATCGAGTCGTCCGAGCTGGAAAGAATCGAACGTCAAGACGCGGAGACGTGACACCATTCCTGTACATCAGTCAGTGTGCACTTACTTAGCTCCATCCCCCCGCTCCATCAGTATTCACACGTCCTCGGGAAAAAGCGGCGCCGCAATTTAGTGATACTTGTGTGTGTGTGACGCCAGCGAAGGACGAGATCAATTTTATTAGGGCCATTACTGATAGGCGCCGTGTTTGGTCTGATTGCACATGGCACGGAGAATAACTCAGGCAAAATGGGACACCGGTCTGACTCTGCCATCCTCCTCCTCCCCAGCATCAATTTTGTCTCTCCATCACTAAAAATGTGTGACACCCTAACATGTGGCAATGGCTGGTTCCCGAGATTTAAAAAAAAAAAAAACATGGTTGACACTGCAGGGAAAAAAACTAATTTTCATCGAAATTTGGAACTAATTGATTGATGAGCCGTGGACGCTATGCGTGAGGATGACAGATAGATACAAGGACGCAAAACCGCCCGGCTGTGCATGGGGTAATTCAGACCCTCCATTTGCTGGGGCCTGTTTCAGCTTTCACACTTTCCATTTCACATTCATCTGTAGTGTACGTACATGTAGTTCCTCTTTTCTTTACTCTGAACAATTGGGCACAGCCTTTAAGTACACACTGAAAAGGAAACAGGGCTTGTAGATGTAACGTTAGGGATTTCAGGTTTCCTAGCTAGGACCCGAGTACAGTACGCGAGCTCCGTTCGATCGGTGCGCCCGGTGCTGACGGTGGTTCATTGTTCACAAAACGAAACCACAGCCCGGCTAGCTAACGTTACTAGTACGTGCTTGAACAGAAAATACCTGCACCGGCGTACGGTCGGACAGTACGTGACACGTACCTTTGTCTTCTCCTTGGCCTTGGCCTTGGCTTTCCTCCTTGTCTTCTTCTTGGTAGGGCTGGCTCTGGAAGCACAGAAAGGAGGTTAGGAGGAAAAGAGGGGCGGGGAGGAACGGGCCGAGGAAAGCACCATCACTTACCATAACAACAACAGCTCGCTTTTGTTAGCATTACAAGTACAAGTTTGCATTGTTACTGGATTATGTTGTGTAAACGTGGAGGGAAGACGGTAGGGTTTACACGGAAGATGATTTTCTGACCTTGCGGGTACGGAGTCGTGCAGACCGGCCGGGCTGGCGAACAGTCGATGGAAGCGGCCGCCCAGCGCCGCTCCGCTCAACAACACTTCGGGCTGGGTTCGGGAGGACCCCACCGCCGCGGCAACCGACGGGACCACCGCCGCAGCCATGCCGCCGATCGCTGCCGTGTCCACCCGTCCGCTGGAAGAACTAGCCGGCCTACCCGCGCTGTTTCGCCAGAAATCCCCGCTCAATTCGCCGCGTTTTTCACGGTAACAATTCCGCTCGGCTAGCGAGCGAGCGACTTCCTCCGCCTTAAGGCCGCCGCCATCTTGGTGCCATGACGTCATTCGGACTTGGCTGGCGGGTCAGGGGTCACCATGGTGGGACTCTGACTCACAGAGATACCCAATTCGCCCAATCCTATTATAAAACATCATAAAATAAGACAAGGCGTTAAAATTCAACATCTAGCCTAGTCATGGTCCTTGTGCTGTGTAAAAGAATTGACTGACATATTGAAATCGTCAAATAACAATGCCTAGAATTAGATGTTCAAGTGTTAGGTGTAACAAGTCGTTCAGTGTAATGTAGCCAGTTGCCGCCGCGCCGCGTGCCTGCGAAGTTGGTGTGTTACCCCGAAGGGCAGTTATACCGGCTATACAGATACAGAAAAATGAGGAAAAACTTACGACCACCAAAGCCATTGACATACAATCGTTTTCATATTGACTACTGTATGATGATGTTTTTCATTTAAAAGTTGAACCGGAAACCCCCAAGATGCAATACATGATCGTGTTCTTCAAAAATCGCTTTGTCACCATTTGTGATGACCTAAAACTGGTCAGTGACTAACGCAACACGTTTCATCTGCTTGACTGTACATGTTTAAATCTGTTGGATGGTTTCCAACCCTTGCTGTGTCGCAAGGGGGCGCTTTTTTCAACATTGCTTAGAAAGACTTTTGAGTGATATTAAGTTAAACATTATATATAAGCATTGAGGTTGACGCCTATATGCATGCATTTCGTCGCCCACAATACATTCTTTGCATGTTTCTCTTTCCTTTGCTAAATAAATCAACGAGTAGGCCCATAAGTATAAATATATATATACTTTAAATTGAGTAATGTGAAGTTTGTAAGGTTTGTAATGTTTAATGGCTTATGCAGGTACAAACATATATCTTTATTGCATTTAGATTACTTTTGATATTAAATAATACTAACATATATAAATATAACGTTATTACCTCTATTTCTTTTCATTGTTACTCTTAAATTACTTTTAACTGTAAATTATTCTGCATTTCAGTCAATGGAGGCTTCATTTTAGTCAAATGTTGTGTTTTGCAACAACGACTTAAAAAATTATAATAAATAAACCATTCATTGAATAAATTCCGACGCCGTATAAGTCCCGGGAGTCAGAATGACCGGCGCCCTTCTAATGGATCTATCAGTCATACTAATTGTGTAAACAAGCCCGGGCACACAGATCCGAGACTACAGACTCTGCCCTCCTTTTCAGCGCTAACCCTGCGACGTAACTGTACACTGCGGCGTAACGGTAGGGCATTCGGCCCGGAACCCATGGGTCCTGGGTTCGATTCCACCTACGTACATGCCCTGACGTTGTGCCCTTGGGAAAGACACTTAAATCTTTCCTCACTTCACTCAGGTTGAAATGAGTACCTAGCTTCGGTTAGGGACGTCCCTCGGATAGGACGTTAAATGGGGGTCCCGTGTTTGGGGACAGCCACACCCCACGCAAGTTAAAGATCCCACCACACCTTTAGAAAAAGAGTAGGGGCATGCCCCGGTGTGCGATGATCCAAGTACTACAGCCCAATTCTACTATGTAGCAGAATCTTTAGCAAGTTGATGTTGGCTACCTTAACCCCCCAAAGACAAAGACTAAGGCGTGTTATAAAGGATCGTCTCGCACTGGGAGAAGCCTGTCTATCGTAAAGGTCGGCCGATAATAAGTGTATTTGACGACGACTTCCGAGAATACGCGGAAATTCTACTCACTTTTCTTGCGAATGAGAGTTTCTGTGTGTTGTCAGCATTTTGGGCGTGCGGTACTACTAGTTGTATCCAGAACCGTGCCTGTGTAGTTCTATGACTAAATGGGTTAGGGTTAGGATCAGACATGGTTCTGGATAGTCTCTATCATGTACCCAGAACCATGCCTATCCACATGTAGTTATATGGCTAAGTTGGTTAGGGTTAGGATCAGACACGGTCCTGGATAGATCAGCGTATCCAAGAACGTAGACTTGCGACAGGCACGCGTGGACTATCCAGAATCATTCCCAGATACGGTTCTGGATACAACAAGGGGCGTTTGATAATGTGCTAGTAAGGCACAGTGGCCTTCGTCCTAGGACGCGATTTTAAATGATGTCGTAGAACTTATTCAAGCAAGCTGTTACACTTTCCTCACTTAGCTCAGGTGTAAATGAGTATTGTCCTGTCATGTATTTGTCCCCTGTGTTGGTGGCGGCATCAATATAAGTTGAAAAAACTTGAGTGTGTCGTCGCCACGTCTAGGGATTACATGTTGGAATAAAAGTAATTAAAAAAAAGCTTTTTACACAGTGTTTTCCACACCCCTTCAGTGCCGGTAGTAAACGAAATACGCGACCAAGGCCTTGTCCTGGTTGAAAACATTTCAACTCTATCTATCTGTACCAATCTGGTCCTGGTAAAAATATTTAAACTCTATCTCCCTGTACCAATCACACCACTAACTCACTATTAAACAGTGAGTATCCTGGTGGACAATAATCATGTTTCGTAACTTCAATCTCATAGTCCCTTGTAAAGAGAGTCCTTCTCTTTCACGTTACAGATAAAACAGGTGGTCGTTTCCTATCTCTAACAGAAGGACGACATGTTACAGTGGCTCATGATTCCACACATTCAACCTGCATGGCTGAACAATTAATATAATCCCTGCATATAATGAAGAAACTACTAAATATTCTCCCCCTCATTCATCCGAGAGGATGTCGTAACAAAAGCGGGCCACTGCGTTCTCCTTGGACAATGGCTTTGCGGCCATTTTAGTGCGGTTTGATAACAAATTCTATTAAGTGTAATCAAAAAGATCCCAGAGCGTAAGGCTATCAACTTAATGGGTTTCTATTCTATATCTTAATTCCGCTTTTAAACGTGAACCGATGAATGGCAAACGGAATAGACTGGGGAACATAAATTTGTCAGATGACTTTATAGTGTAAAACGACCAGGCTCAAATTTCCTCAGCATCTATTTGTATAAATCATAACCTCTAGCAGGCGTCAGAGGAGAAAAGAATTGAAATTGGCCTCTGTAGCTGTAGACTGTACCCCTTTGGTGGACTCCCCCCCCCCCCGCATGTTATCTATCTGTCTATTTGGCCAATTTCTACTCTTGCCAGCCGCATCCGAAGCCTGGTAGAGTCTACACAAATGCTGCTGATATCGAATGAGTAGGGTTAAAACGGAAGTATGGATCTAACCCGATTCTGTCAAAACATTTTTCATATCTGTCTTTCAAACCACCAGTCTCATGTCGGCATTACAGTAAACAGCAGCTGCACTACTAACTATGTTCATAAAATGTTATGCTAACAACTAATGCGGTTTGCATCCCTCGTACTGACGTCATTTTTAGCTTTTAGTATAATTTTGTCTACGTAATCAAGTACATAATTATCGTAACGGGTCCTGCACGGCCGGTTAAACGGATAACGTTTCTGGGGCATTTGGGTTTGATTTATAAGATTTCCATAATGTTTTTGACATCTAGAGAATGCATCAAAGGCCTGCAGTGACAAAGGCTGTCGAGCTGGGCTAAGGCCGCACCAAGTAATTTTTATGGATGACGTCCGCGCGCGCATTGATTTTGGCCTGTTACCAGAAACAAAAGAAGAAAATCCGCTTCTTGTAACCAAGGACATTCTACGCGATAGATTCTTGTTGTAACTATGACCAAAGAGTCACGACAGTGCCGCAAATTGCAAGATTGGAAGATGTGATGGAAGGAAAGAAACAGGACAGGACGACAACTGCTATCCCTTCCACTGATTTATTGTTTTTTTTCATTACGAATGAAAGATTTGTTGGTTGTTACACTGTGCTCTCTCATTCAATTTTGTGTCCTAACATTTGTTGACTCTTATATTTCAAATCTAGGCATCTTTTTCGGTCCCTCTGGGGTTTTTTTCGCGCTCTCGCATTAGATTTAGTGTCTCCAGAGGACGTCATCCACAAAAATTACTTGGCGTGGCCTAATAATGGATGAAGCTGGGAAAAGTTGTCAAACAGGATAAAATCCATACCTGTGTGAATGACGCCAGGTCCGCGCAGATTTCAGAGTACAATACGTGATGATGGTTGTTGTCTGTCGAGTCACGATAGCGGATATTTGACAGGGTAATTTGGGTTAGCAGTCTTTTGAAAGTAGAACTGGGTCTTAATAACTTGGACAATACGCCACCCGAAGCTAGTTTGGCTGACGAAACAAAACAAAGATATGCTAGTACAAAAAAAATGCCGGTTAAAAAAACGCGTAAAATCGCGTAAAAAGTAAGCCAAAGCCTAGACCTCTTTTGGAGACCGGAAATAATTTCATCAGTTTTTTTTTGGGGGGGGGGGGGGTG